GGACCTCGCATCTGACATCATCCACGGGGGCAGAACTCGCCGCCATTCGTGCCGCTCTGGAGTTCCTAGTTGAAGAACCGCAACAGACATGGTCAATATTCTCCGACTCCAAAGCAGCTCTCCAGGGCATTGCCTCGCCATATCGTCATGGACCAAATACCTCTTTCATTTTACACGACGCAATTAGGGACTACGTTGGTGTCGCGCGTTCAGGTAATGTGGAAGCTCTATGCGCGGACCTTATTGTTACCAGTAGTGAACACATGTTCGAGAGAAGTGGAAGGTTACAGTTAATAAGCAGCGCAACCTTGCAAAAGAAAACGAATCTTGTTCTTTCTCTACGGCGAATGCATTAGTATGTGTGTGTGTGTGTGTGTGTGTGTGTGTGTGTGGTGTGTGTGGTGTGTGTGTGTGTGTGTGTGTGTGTGTGTGTGTGTGTGTGTGTGTGTGTGTGTGTGTGTGGTGTGTGTGTGTGTGTGTGTGTGTTGTGTGTGTGTGTGTGTGTGTGTGTGTGTGTGTGTGTGTGTGTTGTGTGTGTGTGTGTGTGTGTGTGTGTGTGTGTGTGTGTGTGTGTGTGTGTGTGTGTGTGTGTGCCCTTCAACATGCGCTATCGTAAAAGGGCCTATATAGGCGTTGCCTCAAAGCAGAAGTGCCCCGCATATATCTTTTTTTTCTTGCTATACACGGACAAAGCATAGTCTGAAACAGCTTTGTGACTCGTTTATAATAGCGCTGTGTTTAGTTACACAGGACACGCTCTGCGATGTCGTCCTGAATTTCCAGATGGCTATCGCACGCAGGGCGCGCGCCTATTGTACATTCGCGAGGCTCTTGCCTTTCATTCCTCTGTTACTGTTCCGTGGAAGCTTCGCTGATGTTTGCCAGTTAGGTCGGCGGCGTATGAGACCTCGAGGTACCTCCACTGTTGGCGTTAAGTGATCCGATAGTAGTCCTGCACTCTCTTTAGCATTACGGTCACGCCTGACCATATATCCGCGACCCTGCTGCATACGTGTGGTTGCAGCGATTGCTCCAGAACTGAAATCACTGCAGTTATTCACTCGCAGAATAACTTAGGTTAATCGGTCGGTTTCGAACGAACAACGCAGTCGGCTGAGAGGAACGACAAAGAGGGCTCTTGGTTAATTTTGCTGATCCGGGGTTCTTTAGCATACATATAAATCTAAGGTCGGCCGGCTAGAATTCGGTGGACGAGTTTAAGTCATCATTAACGCGTTTATTCGTCACACCAAGAGGGAAAAAAAATGCCTGCATATTGGCGGCCGTAAAACGCAGTGCTCCATACAGCCTTCTGAATGTGAAATGCCGGACGAGTTTGCAGTAGCCCGCAAGCGTGCGTGCACAGGAGGAAGAAGGTGGGCAGTGTGATGGAGGTGACTCTCCCTAATATTTCTCGCATTGGTTACTAATCGCAAGCGTCTCTGCAGGAATGGTTTCGGAAAAGGGGAGGGGGGAAGCGATTCGTACAGCTACGCGCCCCCTCCCCCTCAATAGAGAGCTCTATGCACGACTATGGTATAGCACATGAAACCTTCGCGCCGTGCGATACCCTATAGTGGCGCATGCTTTCGGGACATCCGGGAGCTTTCTAGCAATATTGAAACGGCCAGGACATGATGTGAACTGCAAAATGAAGCGCGAAATAACCTCTAAAAATCAGCCGCACGTCTATTGTGGGTATGAAGTGACTTTTGATAATGATAATAACAATAATAAGTGAACTTTTTTATACCTGCCGAAACCACGATGTGATTATGGGTCACCCCATCATGGAGGGCTCCGGATATTTCACCCGATTGATGACCTTTAACCTGTCCTGACATCGCGTAGTACACGGGCTGCCGGTGGCATATTACGTATCTAAATGCGACCGCTACGGCCGTTACCGAACCCGTTACCTGCGGACCAACAGCAAGGCATCGTAACCACCGCACAACCGCGGCTAACTTCCTATTATGATAGCGGCACTACTGAGTGGGAGGATAATCAAATGTCCCGTCTAGCAGAATGAAAGCTTTCGATAATCTCGACGCTTTGTCTGCTGCGATATAAAGGTGTGAAGAATGCTCACTTCATTTTGTGAACGAGCTCGAAAAAGAACGGGCCCTCCTATTGCGCACGCGCAACCCCGGGAAAACGGCGCGGGCAGTGCTGTTCCTGTTCTCGTACATAACGTGACGGGATCGGTGTTACAAGCACGCGCACGTGAACCGGTCCGGCACAGGTCGACGGGGCGGTCTTTTGAATGTGCGTTCGTGTGTATGCACGTACATGCTTGACATGTACGGAAGGGCGTCTTTATCCCGCCTATACGGGTTCTGTTTTCCTGCTTCCTCCATATGCCTATAGCATGTATCTGCTGCGTTCGCTACTTTCAGCTGTTCAAATATTGCCCGGCGGCATACCGCGCAGGCAAAAGGATGCTTCGATGCATCAGACGGGGTGACAGGAATAGCCGTAATAGCACCTCGGCGGTGCTATTACAGCTATTTCTGCGAGGAGCGCGATTGCGTCGACAAAACGAAAAGCTTCGCAGTCAGACAGACAGTCTTGAGCGGTAACTGGAGGCTTTTCTGAGCGCCATTCACGAATAGCCCGTGCATTAGCGTGCCTCTTTTGACAGTTGACAGCTTCTTTAAAAGTGTTTTCGCGTCACTAAGCGTACAAGCAGGAAAGTGGTTGTTAGCTACTGCTTCTTCCTTCGCTTCACTGGTCACAAAGGGCATAGTGGTCACGTGCGCGCACATTTGAACCTATTGCTTTTGATAACTAAGCGCAAATAGAACAGACTTAAAGAGTGATGTGAATGTTCAAAGCCAAGTTGGTAATCGCGTTTTTAATGCCGTTTGCCATGACGGTGGTTTCTATTCAGATTCAGATAGTTGTGCTTTCCTATAATAAGTGAAACCGCTGAAGTGTCTATGCTCCGATACGCAAAGTGTGTTATTTTCCAGTGGTCACACAGGTTGTTTATATTGAATCGTCGTGTGTCATATCCCGTTTATTAAGAAAGACTGTGCACATTGAATGTTAGCTATAAAATTTCGCGTGATCTCTAAAATATTTTCGTCTGAAGTTTTTTTTAAATACAAATTGGTTCTGCGTGTGTCGGTGGTCGTCATTAAACGTGCGTTTGAGTTCTCGATTGATTAGTGTGGAGCCGACATCTTGTGTTGCTTTTCAGTATCTGCTTGAAGTTATCTCTGTCATTTTCTCTTCCGCAGTGTGCTGATATTTCGCAACCGTGTTTTGGGATTTTTAGCACTCAAATAGCCGATGTCGCTTTTTGGTTCGTGATAACACGGAAGAGGGGATTAAAAAATCAGGAGCAACACATGCATATTCGTCACCTGGGCCAGCTAGGACAGCTTTCACGGAAGAATAATGATCATATCTCGTGGTTTACGCCCCAAAACCGCAATATGATGATTGTGCGAGACGCCGTAGTGGATGGCTCCGGCAATTCCGACCATCTAGTGTTCTTTAGCCTGCGCTGACATCGCTCACCACATGGGCCCATAGCGTTTCGCCTTCACCGAAACGCGACCACCGTGGTCGGGGATCGAACCCGTGACCTTTTTTTTCAGAATCGGAGCACCATAACCACTTCTCCATCGCGGCAGACTTCACGGAATGAGTAAAAAGCGACAAAAGCGTGCGTAACCGAAAAACTGACCTTTGAAACTGTGGTCACAGCCATAGCCACCATCGGCATGTAATATTCGACAGAGAGCAGAAGATCCATTTATCTTCATTTCGCACCCGAGCGACTAATACAATTGGATTTCCATACAATGCTCTTGCCACTGTTTAGAGAATGGAACGAAGGTGTTGCAACTGCAATGTTATATGTCTTCTTATTGCTGGTACACTGTCATCAAATAATGAATTACTTCAGATAATTGCTTACGCGTAAGATTACACAGCGCGACTAGCGATCTTGCTCTGCACAAGAGGGCCACAAAGGGGCGTTCTGGTTTTCACCGATCATACAATGCTCTGTATCAGCGTTCGGCCCGAGGCCTTCAATTGACTATATTTGATGTTGCCTTGTGGGAAAACGACACTTCATTTAGTTACATATACGATGTATACTCTCGAGCCCTAAGGACAGTATCACTTGGCGAGAAATATACAAGAAAACACCGTTCAACCGGTACTGCGCCAGATGCCTTATAATAATAGTTCTGAGAGAGTGCTTTCTCGTTGTTGGCCCGCCCAGCGTGTTTCACGGTTACCCGCTGAGAAGACGAAAGGAGATCTGACAGCTTTTAGGAAGCAATTCGATTCGGAGCACTTTCTTATGTTTCATAGAGAGTGTATGTGATTTACCTCTAACAACACTGACATAGGCGTTTGTGTGTGGAGAGAATAATGTGTGGGTAGTTTGAATAAGGGTGTAGGCGTGCGCGGGAGGGGGCGAAGGTCTGTCGCAGCGCCCACCCCCCCCTCCTATTATGTCAACGTATAGGGCTGACTTTGCGCTCCCTTGTGCTTCCATACCTCATCATCCGCGCGCGCGTATGCGTAAGGGCGTATGCGTAAGGGCGTATCCTGTAGAAAAGGATAGTATCTTGGTGCACGGGGACATAGCGAGAGTGTTACATAGACGGCCTACAATTACTTCCGACGAAACGATCCGCCGAACCTCCTGTTTGTACGTTGATCGCACGTACGTGTCTTTTCTTAAGCTACGTATGCATGTGTATCTTGTTTATTAGGAAGGGAAAGACTCTGCACCGCCTTTACAAAAAAGGGATTACCTCAGCCTCGTTGAGAAAGAACGAAAACTGTAACGAGATTCGACATGCACAATTTCATCAACTGATCGGATTGTCTTGCGCGAGTCATTGTCATGCGACTGTCTTTTCCCTTTAAAGAAACGCACGACCTGACGAAATATGCTTTAAAACGCGTTAATTGGGTGATAAACTGAACTTGCAATCGATATTCGCAGCTGGACCAGGATCTATTCTCACCTCTGTCTCCACGTCGTTCCGATGGAAGAGCCGAGCTCCAGCGGCGTCTTCGTTCCAGGGGCAGCTGTCCGCTGCCTCTCGACACGGCGCGGTGGTCGCAGCCACCGCTTAGCGCCGCACTCATCAGCTGGCGGCGGTGCGGCGGCAAGAGTTGGCGCTTGCCGGCATCCCGACGGCACGGTCTCATCGGCCACCGACGATCGCGCGCTCGTCCCATATTCCGTCGCCGGGACCGGCAGCAACGTGCGCCGGGCAGCAAGCTGCCCTGCAAACACTCGACTTCACCGTTCCAGCGGCTGCAGCCCCTCACCACGGTGGTGGTGGTGGTCACTGCGGCGACGGCGCATCTCGTATCCACGAGCGCTGTACCATCCCCGCTCAGAGCACGCTACTACACTACTCTTCTAAACGCGGCGGGCGTCCGCCGCTGCTTTGCTCCCAGGCGCCGCGGTAATCATTTCTCTTTTTCTCCCCCCTCGCCGCAGGGCAGTTTCACTGAGCAAGAGAGGGAAAGGACGAGAAAGAAATAAGGGCCGACCTGCGAGCAGAGAAACTTTTTTATGTTTGTTTCCTACCCTGGAGCATCGACGGTGACTTCTCCGGTTCGTCCAGCGCGCTTCTTCCTGGCGAGAGGAGGAGATCTGCGTCCGTTCCTGCGCGTATGTGTGAGTGTGTGCCTGCATGTAAATCGCCACTCTGGTGGACCCGACCTGGCAGGCTATAAGAGCGGCAATGTGGAACCCATCACTTCAGTGGGTCCGGTGGCGGCATGGCGAACTGCCGTTTCAAGCACGTCTGTTCATCTTGCAGGTAACATACAATTACAAATGCTGCAGAAGTGATAACCGCTGTTTGCTGCTGCTACCGGACCCTCTGAACTTTACTGCCGTTGTGACACATCTGGTGCATTGCTTAGAGTATCATTACTGTTACTTTGTGGCGACATAGAGACCAATCCCGGTCCCAAAGTTGATGAAATGTTGTCGCAACTACTGTCTGGACAAGCCCGTATCAGCCAGGAATTAGCTAGCCTATCTGAAACAGTTTGCATCGTTTGAAAATCGTCTAATGAATGTTGAGGCAATGGCGGCGTCTGTGTCAAACATCATACCACGTGTAAGTGAACTGGAGCAGACCGTTGGTACGCTTCAAAAACTAGTTGGTAAGCTTGACCGTCAGAACGATGAGCTAGAAAACAGACTACCGTAAAAACAACCTGATAATTCATGGTTTGCATGAGACACCATCCGAGACGACTAACCATTTGCTTGAGTCTGTATTGGATCTGCTATCAGTTAAACTCGGTGTAAATTGTGACGACATAGGAGCGTTGCCACAGGCTTGGAGCAGTAAGAAGAGATAAACCTCGGCCGGTAATCATTAAACTGATGGACTTCAGTCAAAGATTGCCATCATGAGCAACGCCCGAAAACTTAAAGGAACTAAGTTTATATAAATGAGGACTACTCGCTCGGGTTCGACTGGCACGTAAAATGCTGTGGCAGAATTCGCAAAATATGCGCAAGAATGCTAAGAAAGTGAAGCTTAAACACGACACCCTCACAATTGACGGTGTTCGTTACACGTGGGACACTGATAAAAAAGCCATTATCAAGGTTTCTACGCACTCACTTTCAGCGGGGTCCGACTCTGCGAAATCGGCTTCTGCGCAAGCGCTGGTATAAACTCAGCTTCATCCGCTTCTGTTTTCGCGAAGGCTGATTGACGTTGTGATCGGAATATAATTGTCCTCAACTTAAATGCGAGGAGTATACTAAACAAAATTGAAGCTCTGAACTGTTTAGTGGAATGCCACAGCCCATCAATTGTCTGCCTTACTGAGACCTGGCTAAATGATACTGTTATTGACAGCGAAATTTCGCCTGCTGGTTATGCGCTTCTTCGGAAAGACAGGCGTGCCGGACGTGGAGGCGGCGTGGCAGTTTTAATTAAATCTAATCTTGAATTTTCTTTATTACCTGACCTTCCGGGTACAGAAACCATTTGGTGCAAAATATACATTAAAGGTATCGTAATAGTTATTGGTGTCCTCTACCGTCCTCCTAACTCCGATGATATTGTCCCTGCTATTAATGATTACCTTGTCAGTAACAAGTTGTACGATTGTAGGTTACTTTGGCTGGAGATTTCAATCTCCCGCACGTTAACTGGAACTTACTTATCCCAACAGGGCGTGACAGGACACTTTGCGCTTCCCTGATCGATCTGGCGGTTTCTTTGGGTTAACTCAAGTTGTAGATACCGAAACACGCAAGGACGCAATATTGGACCTTGTATTTGGTAAACCAGTAACTCTTATCGCACGGTGTAAAATGCGAAGTCATCGATGGGTTATCTGACCATAAAGCTGTCGAAGTTGCCTTGAACTTAGTGTGTCCACCTCAAAGACCTGAGATAAAAACTGTTTTGAACTTTTCTAACGCTGATGATACTTCCGTATTGGACACTTTAGCTTCATCTTATGATGAATTTGTATATTGCAGTGAATTTTGCAATGTAGATACGCTGCTCCTTAAGTTTTGTGACATTGTGCGTGAATGCCAATCAAAGTACGTGCCTCAAAAGTATATTAAACGGAACCCAAGACACCCATGGTATAATAGAGAAATCATTCAACTCACTCGTCGCGTAAAGCGTTTACGTAAGAATCGTCATTCCAGGTGTAACGACAATGTTTCTTCATTTAATACATTGAAAAGTAAATTAGGCACTAAATTGAAAGAGGCTAAAAACTACTACTTCAGCAATACTTTGGCTAGATTTATGAAAAAAAAATCCATCCAGGTTCTGGAGATCGATTAGTCCTGTATCGTCTATACCTTCATCATTTATTGTTAATGACCAATCCTGCTCAAATCCCGAAGCTATAGCAAATGCCTTTAATAATTATTTCAAATCTGTTTTTCCACTGATAACGGCATCAAGCCTTCGTTTTCTGCATGCAGCAATCTGTCTGCTCTTCCTGATCTTGAAGTAAGCTCCTCTGGAGTACATAACCTTATATTAAATCTTGATGTAACGAAAAGCTCTGGCCCAGACGGTATTCACAATGTCTTTCTAAAAAGATATTCAGAGTGGTGTGCTAATTATCTTACTGTAATATTTAAAAAATCATTAATCTCTGCAACAGTTCCCCAGCTGTGGAAATTAGCAAACGTCGTGCCTGTATTTAAGTCTGGAAACAAGCAATTAATACCAAATTACAGGCCAATATCTTTACTTTCTACAGCTCTAAACTTTTGGAGCATATCATTCATAATATATTGTAGAATACCTAAATGCACACAATATACTTTCCCGATCACAGCACGGTTTTCGTGCTTGCTATTCTACTGTTACACAGTTGCTTGATTTACGCACGACGTCGCTTCTTCTCTTAACGACCGAGGACAGATTGACGCCATATTTATTGATTATTCAAAGGCCTTTGACTTGGTTTGCCATGCTAAACTTTTAGTTAAACTTCGCACATTTTTGGTGACAATAAGCTAGTTGACTGGATAGCAGATTACTTGCGGTCACGCACACAATTTGTTACGTTTAACCATGTGAAATCGTCTGAAGTACAAATCACTTCAGGGGTGCCCCAAGGTTCGGTGCTTGGGCCGCTCTTGTTTATTATCTACATAAATGACGTAGCAGAAATTATCGGTGACACACAAATTAAACTAAGAATGTATGCAGATGACTGCGTTATCTATAACACCATCTCTAGTGTTGAAGATCAGGAAGCCCTGAACAGTGTTTTTTCATTGTTTTGTAATTGGAGTGAAAACTGGCAAATGTCAATTAATTTCAAAAAAACTGTAGCCATGACCTTTTCAAATAAGAAACAGCCTCTTAGTTTTGCATACACTAATAATGGTGTCAGTCTAGCTCGTGTCACGGAGTTTAAATACCTAGGTGTAACTCTGACAACAAACTTAAAATGGCGCACGCACGTCGAAACAATCTGCAACAAGGCTCTTCGAAACTTTGGTATCTCCGACGCACTTTAAACAACTCGACAAAAGAATGCAAATTGACAGCGTACAAGACCTTGGTCAGGCCCATACTTGAATATGCGTCGGTTGTTTGGGTCGCCTCACCATAAACATGACATAGCTATGTTAGAATCTGTTCAGAAGAAAGCACTAAGGTTTATTTTTCGTCGCTATGACCAGCGGTTCTCGCCTACTTCGCATGCGCATGTTTTATCACTGCAGTCTCTAGAACATCGGCGCACTTGCGATCGTATCATCCTCCTGCATAAGACTGTTCACACAGGCTTGGGTGTTCTAGCGCCCATTCTTTTGTTGCAGCTTCTGCGCGCCGTACCCGACGATTTGATCCCTTAAACATTACGCCCTTTAGAGCTAGTCTCGACTGCTTTAAGTTTTCCTTTTTTCCGTGGACCGTGGATCTATGGAATGAGCTTGATGGGTCTCTGCGCAGACTCGATGCTCTGCAACTCGAAAAAGAGTTGCGTAGTCATGTATTCTGATAATTTGTTTTACTGTTTTGAACATTTGTATTCCACTCCTGCAATGTCTCAAAAACTGAGACAGCAGTATTTGTAAATAAATAAAATAAATCAGGAGCAACACATGCATATTCGTCACCTGGGCCAGCTAGGACAGCTTTCACGGAAGAATAATGATCATATCTCGCGGTTTACGCCCCAAACCGCAATATGATGATTGTACGAGACGCCGTAGTGGATGGCGTCTTTATCCCGCCTATACGGGTTCTGTTTTCCTGCTTCCTCCATATGCCTATAGCATGTATCTGCTGCGTTCGCTACTTTCAGCTGTTCAAATATTGCCCGGCGGCATACCGCGCAGGCAAAAGGATGCTTCGATGCATCAGACGGGGTGACAGGAATAGCCGTAATAGCACCTCGGCGGTGCTATTACAGCTATTTCTGCGAGGAGCGCGATTGCGTCGACAAAACGAAAAGCTTCGCAGTCAGACAGACAGTCTTGAGCGGTAACTGGAGGCTTTTCTGAGCGCCATTCACGAATAGCCCGTGCATTAGCGTGCCTCTTTTGACAGTTGACAGCTTCTTTAAAAGTGTTTTCGCGTCACTAAGCGTACAAGCAGGAAAGTGGTTGTTAGCTACTGCTTCTTCCTTCGCTTCACTGGTCACAAAGGGCATAGTGGTCACGTGCGCGCACATTTGAACCT